TCGCAATTTTCCTCATTACGACGTCAATCATCCGGTGGTCTTATGTCACGGCGGAAAACCCGCCTCTAGTCTCCCTGCCATACGGGACGTTTCAAGGCCTCGACACTGGGAACCTGACCAAATTCCTCGGGGTTCCGTTTGCCCATGCGTAGGGCCGCCGCCACCTGGGTCTTGGATTAGAGTTGACGCAATTTTCCAGCCCACGATTTGAAACGCCAAAACCTCCAAGACTGCTGCACGGTGTGCAGAATGCCACAGACTTTGGGCCGGCTTGTCCCCAGCAGGCATTGACCCCTCTGCCAATCGATTTCCATCCTGGAATATATCCTTCCATCTCTGAAGATTGTCAGTTCCCGCCTTTCCAGCCGGTGTATTGACTTCACCGGCATTAAAGGTTTAACGCTTGATATCTTCAAGCCCACTGCATCGGATTCCAGATCGAAGCTTCCTGTATTTGTGGTACATACAGTCATCATGCTTTACGTCGCGTGGGGGGTGCTAACATTCGAATTAATATTCGCTGTGAATAGTATATATTTGGGGGTGAGTCCTCTCGCAGTTTCCTTGAGTTGAGTAACAGATTCACATTGCGTTCCATTAGGTGGCTTTGAGATTGGCAATTCAAGGGATGTGGACTTTTCTTCGTTAACGGAGCGCTCCATCGCAGTGAGCGAGCCTGTCGTTGTTGTCGCAATAAATTACCGCGTCACTGGTGAACTTGAATGCTCCTCATCGCCAGTTCATCTCGTGACCTAACACGCCTCCTTAGCGTTTGGCTTTTTAGGCGGAAGGGAAGTGGCCGCGGCAGGAATAAGCAACCTGGGTTTACGAGACCGTAGGTCTTCATAACTCATACCATCCGAGGATTAGATTTACGAATATCTTTGCAGAGATTTATGCCCTCGAATGGGTTAAAAAGCATATCTCTGCATTTGGTGGAGATCCTCATCGAGTAGTGATGTGGCTCAGTTTCTACTTATTAGGTGTGCCCTCACTGATGGACATCCGAAGTGGAGGACAGAGCGCAGGAGCTGTATCTACCTCTTTGCTTCTTCTTTCCAACAAGCAGAACTCGAATGCCTTGTTTCGGGGGGCGGTCATGGTAAGCGGATTTCACGACAGGCAACTCAATGCTTAATTTATTATCATCAGATATCTGGTTCCCCTATCACGTCGCCTTCCGTCACCGATGGGCAGGCAGCGTATGATAGTCTGGTGGCCACCAACAACTGCACTGCTTCCCCGGACACCCTCGATTGTCTTCGGCGCGTCCCTTTCGATTCCCTCATGGCCACGGTGAACAAAACTCAAGATCTATTCGCATATGGGGGTCTGGCCCTTGTCTGGCGTCCCCGCATTGACGGAGATGTTATTGTGGAAGACCCGTTGGTGTCGGTTTCCCGGGGATTATATGCCAAGGTGGCTTTTTGCGCTTTAAATGAGCGTTGTATACACTAACATTCGCAGATTCCTATCATGACAGGAGACTGCGATGACGAGGGAACGTAAGCATGTTCATTCACCAAGGAAGCTAATCTGATCATCCTCCAGGGTGTTCTCATTGAATGAAGCCAATATTACGTATGTCTGCTATATCCCAACGATATTCTGCTTGACCGTTGCCGCCGTCGCCAGAACGAATGCAGAATTCCTGGATTACGCGCATTCTACGTTTGTTGCAATATTTTCCCACCTGGATTCGTGGCTTATTCTCCCTGTAGATTTCTTCCAGTAAGCTCGCAGGGAGAGCTCGCTCGGATTGGAGTACTGTACCCCGACGATCCTACTCAGGTGCGCCATTTGAACTACCAACTCGTTCCTGGGCTGACATCGAACCTAGGGCTCCCCATTCAACACTGGCACCGCTAACCAACTGACGTATGTCCTCTCAAGAGCGTCTCCTTATGCATAGATGACCAACCGTCCATAGGCCGCAGTACAAGCGGCTTTCTGCATTCCAGGGGGACATTTTCTTTACAGCTCCGCGCAGATTCTTCTTAGAGCGCGCATCCGCGACACAAAATGCGTGGAGTTGGTGTGCGTTGTTCTTACTTATTGCGCGCTAATAAATTTGGATAATGAATAATTTGTTAGTGTTCGCACGGGGAAAAGACACGCCGATTGGCGCCAACCATGGTGGTGACTTGCCGATCTGGTTCCCACCCAACAAAACGAGCGATACCACTGGGGCCGATGCTCTGAGTGAGCGGGATATTTCTTCCTTTGGTGAACAACTGAATAAGCATATCATACAGTCAATTTCATAAACACGCTGGATCCCAACCACCCCGCGGCATCCTCGACCATCAAGCCCGCTATCTTCTGGCCGAAGTGGAACACGCCGTCGTCGGCTGGGTCACCCTCTCTGCTGACATTCAGTGACCCCAATGTTGTCAACATCACCAGGGAAAACTTCCGGGTCGACGCTATACGTTTCTTGAATGAGGTACTTCTACGAGAGGCAGGTGGATTTGAATAGTCTTTCAACTCCCCTCGTGATGTGGGTTCGTTGAAAATGGTCGAAAGTGATACAAGCTTGAAGTCTTCGACTTGTTTACATAACATGTCTACGCCAGGAAGATTTATGTCCGTTCCAAATAGTCGAAGGCAATAATATAAAAACGCGCCGAGGGCATTCTTGAGCAGCCCACCCAGCGAGCTTTATGATAGGTAAACAGCGGATCAGAGCTCTGCAGATAAAAGCGAATTTGTTCCAGGCATGCTTACCTTCGTCAATATATACTCCCGCCAATAGTCTAAGGTGCAGCCATCCATGTAGGGTGCAAGGGGTTGGGCGCATCCGCCAGTCCGTCCCAAGGAGAATAGAACAGGACAGGCGGGGAGTATGTGAGTTCGAGACGAAGTCCACTCTGCAGGAACGACTGTAATTCCGAACGAATATCGAGCTCCATGCCCCGGTTCAAACTCATTACGACACGCTTCAACGTCCGCAATTTGATGAAACGGATGATTGCGGCATCAGAAACAGAACAGAGGAATTTTATTTCCAGGGCCTGGAGCTCTGGGAAACAGACGTTGGAGACGTCGGGCGCTGGAATGAGGGATTCAAAAATCTCAGCGTCGAAAATCTCGCCGTGGAAACTCGAGCCCCCGGAGAATGTGCTGCTAATCTCGATTTCGCGAATAGTAGGCGGAAGCCCGCGAAAGAAATCAGCGAGAGACGATTTTGAAAACAATTCAATGCTGAGATCCAAGATCTCGAGGCGGGGGGTGGCGGCGAGGAAGGGGGCAAAGGAGATATTGTCGCTATCGGACCTTCCGCGAAGTGTTAAACTCCGCAATTGTGGCAGCGAGACCCGGCCGAGTAGTTGGTGAACGGTCGAGGAAAGGGTGCGGCAATTTAGGTCCAGGGTATGAAGAAAAGAGAGTTCCAGAATTGGCCCTTCAACTCCGATGCTGGGCTCGGGACCGTCACGAACGCGGAATCGGCAAGTCTGCAGCTGGGGGCACCGGGAGAGCAGCTGCAGAGTCATTTCGCTGGTCAATGAGCGCCCCGTTGCCCGCCGTAATTTAAGCCACATTGAAAGCTCTGTTAAATGAGCCCAGCGAAGCGGCAATTCCAAGGGGCTGAAACTGTTTCCTGTAATGTGAACGGAATCAACTTTGGGGCCGCCAAGGAGGCCCAAAGAGACCCATCCGACGAGATTATCTCTGTGCTGGAGGATCTCGTTGAGGCTGACGGACTGGAGGATCGGCACATCCGCTTCGATGAGGTGTGACATGGTCTCCAGAACAGAAGAGGGGGCCGTGAAGGCGATGTGCTCCCAGCGCGAGGTGAATGGGAGGAGGGCCTGAAGGAGACGGTGTTGTGTCGATGAAGTCAAGTTGTCAAGTATGAAACTTGTGCAGTGCAGCGATATGGACAATGGACAATTGCCCGATCGACCGAGCCACATCTTGGTAACCTCGAGCCGCTGCGCCAGCTTGCCCTCGAACAGCGGAAGGGCGGAATCGTAGGGGCATCTAGGCTCTACGATGTGGAGCCGTGACCACAAGCGCGGCGTTGAGAGGGATATGGATCTCCAGGAGCTGCATATGCGCCCGAGGAGGACGGGCGCCTCCACGGCGCTCATAACACAGTTGCGATGGGTTGGAAGGCATGCTACGAATATTTCTTGGATGACATCCAATGGCAACCGACGAACCGGCGAAATGAGGGCCATATGAGCGTCCACGTAGGCACTGAGCTCGGTGCGCTCCTCTGCCCGTTTGCTAAGCGCCTTCTGCAAATCGGCGATTTCATCCTCTAGTTCCTTCAGTCGAAGACTGGGTCCAGTGAGAAGAGACTGGATCTCTACTATCTCCTCGTCCTGTGGGCAATAATTGGTGCCTAGCTTCGAGGTGAACGGAGAGGACATGATGATGGCAGTGTCATGCCACCAATTTATAGGGATTACGGCCTTGTAAGGCTGTGTAAGTTCACAGCTTTTGGTGACGCGAACCACCAAGTGAGTGGGAACAACCGATTGGAGCGGAACAAGAACTTGGATTGTGCTGTGCTTCCACTTCGCGTTTTGCCGATAAGCATCAGGAGGGATATCCAAGCTTTCAGTGCAGCATATGCGCTTATTTCGCGAACGGATGGCAAGCTCGAGATGCTCGACGACCTAGGATACCGGCAGGTTTTGCTGTACATAATAGTTGCGCCAGATCTAGAAGAGGATACATTCTTCTTCATTCATACCAGATGCCCAGCGCCACCACACTTTAGGGCGTCCAGAATGATCGATGCGCGTCCGGCCGCACCTTGGTCACCGCAGCTCAGAGTGGAAGCGAAAAGCAAGAGAGGTCGGAGATTGCCGGGCCATGTGACCCGACAGTTCAAGTGATGTTCAACAGGGTTAGCACGTTGCCGGGCCTTGAAGTTCCTCTGGAAGTGCGTCGTTGAGTGGAAAGAACACTTTAAGAGTATTGACGGAAACAAAAGAGAAAATTGGCCCGGAGGAACTGATATATATAAAAATCAAACACCTCGCCAAAGGCCTGACCTAATTCGAACAAGGACTTCCCACTTAAAACCCCCAAATTGAAGCGGGTGTGTTACCACTCCACCACCAGGCCTTACCCTTTTCCTCTGCCGCACCGAATAGATAGTGATTTTTGGCATTGTTCCTAGAAAACATTTTTTTAGGTAAAGAAAAGCAAAAAGACCAAATTATCAAATTCAAGTGGCCTGACCTTGAGTCGAACAAGGATCTCCCGCCAAGCATGTCCTACTAGGATTAAGTATAGCAGGTACGCTACCATTACACCACCAGGCCATGCAGATTAGGTTTATTCCTATAACTAACTACCCCATAGCGCAAATATGGCTTGTCGCGCGAAGCCCCCGATCCATCAAGGCGCGCGCGCCCTGCTTCCACTCACTCAAAAGCACAAAAGCAGAAAGGAATGTAGGAAACAAATGCAATACTGAAGTACCAGGTCTCCTGTGCGAGCGAATGGATAGGTATATTCAAAACTCAGAAAAATGGGGTGGGGCGGCGTGACAGTATCAAAACACGGGATAGGATGGGTATCGGGGACATGAGGATGGGCCACGGGGCAATGGACGTGTAATCGATAGGTAGATGATGGTCAGACTCGTCTGTGAGAGGCGCCTCCACCGCGACCTTCTCGACAGGATGCGCATGCACATCCGTGCACATCGGCAGCGCTCCGCATCCCCTTCCCCGCCCTCGCCCCCGTCCTCGCTAAGGACGCAGTACGAGCTCGTACTCGGAATCGGAGCTGGCGGTTGAGTTGGGGCAGCGGAAGGGGAAAGCCGAACCGCGGAGGACGCGGAAGGTGGGGATGGCGAGGGTCCCAGAATGCACAAGGGAGGGGGAGGGGGAGGAGGTGACGAGGGGGAAGCAAGATAGGGGTGGAAGGCAGGCAAGGATGATGCAGGACTCGCGTCGTCCATGGATGAGATGGATGGCTGGCATGAGCCCGCAACGGCGCGCGGCGGGCTCGGAGGTGGCGATGGAATCAAGGGCGGTGTGTGGGTCCACCCGCGTCGTGGGCGAAGCCAAGGGGAAAAGGAGAAGTGAGAACGGACGGAGGAAGGCGGCGCAGGGATCGACGGGGAGACAGGCGAGGGCGCGGGTTAATGAAAGAAGAAGGGCAGAAGCAGGCGAGGGGACGACGGAGGTAAAGTTTGGTTCAGGATGCGGCGGACGGCGCCGGACGCACGAGGAGGAACGGTGGCAGAAAGGTGGCGACGAGCGAAGGACAGCGCCGACGAAGTAAAGAAGGGCGGGCGGCGCAAGAAGGGAGACGCGCTAACTTAGCAGAATGGCCTAGGCCGAGGCTTGCGAGCGCAAACTGAGCGGCGCGCGTGCGCCCTTGGGATGGAGGCGCCCGTGCTCATGTCCGTGCGCGTCGTGCCTGTGGTGCATGCAGGCGTGCAGCGTCACCACTGAACGTCCTGCTGTGCGTGACTTGGAGGCCGGGGAAGAGAAAGAGAGGGCTGGCGAGGGTGGGGTCATACATGGTGGATAGTGTTTGCTGGCGGAGGCGCCGCGTGGATGAATATCTGGGTGTGATGCGGCAGAGCACAGAGACGTGCTTTCAGATGCGAGAAATACCAGTGAGATAAGTCTGAATCAGGAACGCACGCTTCCCGAGCCCCGTACCCTCGCTGCTTGAATCGTCCGCTGCGTCCGACACGCTCAAGGATCGATATGGGGTCAGCGCATCATCATCTTAAGCCTCTGCGTTGCGTGAGGTCGTAGTTCGAGTCGGGGACGACCCGCAGAGAGTAGATGGAAGTCGACCAGCTTCCGGCCGTGTGGGCAGAAAGACAACACTCGCTGATTGAGGAGAGCGGAAAGCAAGAGTGAGTCGGGCGTTGCCGGATCTGCACTCCGGAGCTCTCCGGAACACGAGTTGAGGTTGAAAGGACTGAAATTCACAGCGCGTCGTGGAACATACAGGACGACTCATTTATGAGCTGAGAGTACATGTAGGAAATGAACGATTCCAGCATCGGACGGCTACGCGCGCCACGGGAAAAGGTAAAAGGTAAAATATAAGAGACCGACCTGACCTCGAATTGAACAAGGATCCCCTGCAGAAAGTAATACATACTGGACGCCCCAATTGACCACAGGTATGTTACCATTACACCATCAGGCCTTTCTTTTATCCCGCCAAAACTGATTACAGACATGAGTTCTGTGAACGCAAAGAAAGAAAAAGACAACACCAATATAGAAAAAGCCTGGCCTTGAGTCGAACAAGGAACTCCTGCAGAAACTACTTGCCACTTATTTAATATAATGCAAGGGTGTTACCATTACACCACCAGGCCTTGCCCAGTGGTTTCGGCTTGCGTGTAAATGGGACAGAGACTCAAATCCTCAACTCGAAATTTAATTCACAGACAAATAATCAGTTTCGTGCAAGGGATGCTGCAGAGACACAGAGTCGACCTGACTCTGAGCGGGAGCGAAATGGGGCAAAGGCAAATTGAATCTAATACAGCAAGCCGTGCAGATAAGAAACGGGGAGGGATGTGGAATTTATGAGTAAAATTCGAGGAGAGAGAAAACCTTGGATAAAATGTGCTCACAGTGCGGCAATTCCCCGGCCACTGAGTTGCCTCAAATTATTAGTAGCACGGCGTCCGAGCTCCAGCTAAAGAGTAGCCTCCGAGTGATGACGGCCTCTGAAGAGTGTGGAGATGCAGCGGGCAGCCGCGGAGGCCCAGACTCGCGGCAGCGTGGGTTGAAGTTTCGAGATCATCATGCCCGGAGGTAGAGAGCGCGGCGAGTGTGCTCGGAGCGAAATGGCAGGCTGGATATGGCATCGCGAGCAGGGTTGCGGCGGTCAACGGGCCTAGGACGTAAGGAAAGTAAAAAGCGGCCAGGAGGTCACGCACAGCCCTTACCAAGGAGGACTATCCCGGGCTGGAACGGTTGACTGGACCAGCTGTAGATGTGAGATAGAGTAGAAGGCAAGTGTAGATATAAGCTCGAGCATACTTGCTCGAACCTGACGGTGGACACTCGGATGCTGGAACTCTGGGACGTTCGAACATGCAGGCTACATCGCGCAGCATGCTGCGTAAGCAGTGGACAAAATAGCGAGCGCGGGGATAGACGCAGCCCACTCGATGAGGTCTAGTATTAATCGGGAGGCCGAGGATGTAATCGCTGAACGAACAGGATATGCTGCGGTAGGCCAGACGGAGACGTGTGAAGATCCAGGTTATGGAATGCACGAGATGTGCCTGCCTGGAGCCGGCAACAAGAAGTCGAGGATCAGTTCAGCTGGCCGAACCTTAGCAAAGAGTCCCCAGCCGCTGGATGTCTCTGCGTATGCGCCCGATCGCAGCGGGGTAAAAGAAAGAAGGTTATGCCAGCCATCGGAGACAGAACTTCAAGGAAAAGGAAAAGCGGATGGCTGTGCAATGCAAAGAGAGAATCGGGCGTTGCCGGAGCACGTGCCCTCTCCTCCTGTCGGTTGAACTTGAAGTTGAACGAAATTCATGACACATCTCGACGCTTTGAGGCTCCAGTTTCGAGCCATAAATCAAATGAACGAAATAGAACATTTCCAGGGTTGCCGTCCAGAGGACAGAAAAAGGTCCGGACATTCGCCGATAGGGTCTGACCTTGAGTCGAACAAGGATCTCCCACCAAACACTTTGCCAAGCAGTCAGCAAGAACACTTCTTACCAACTACACCACCACCCATATCCTCAGCCTACCTAACTGTGAGTAAGATATGTACATAGATGTCTTGAGAATCAAAAGAAAAATCACCCCAAAAGGCCCATGGCCTGACCTTGATTCGAACAAGGATCCCCCACTGAAAAGTTCTACCCAACGGCATCAACTTAAAGTAGGTGTGTTACCACTCCACCACCAGGCCATGTTCTACCCATCCTCTAGGGCGTAGTAGCAGGAAGAATTTGGGCAACAATACAACGAAAAAGGATGACCTGACCTAAAGCAGGCGACAGGTACTGGTCGCTCGACATCGACACCCTGAGCTCCCACTTCGGTACTGAGGCAGACCTGAAGGCGCTCGGCACTGCGCTGCATGCGCGGGATGTACCTCATCATGATGCTGGACGTCGTCATCAATCACTACGCCGGCGTCCCGACCAACACCACCGCCTCGCTCTCCGGCCTCTTCACTTTCGACTTTGCGAGCATCCTGCCGCTGGGCACAGAAGATTCCTTCCGCAGTGCTTCATCGCGGACTACACGAACCAGACGGACGTGGAGCAATGCTGGCTCGGCGACGAGCGTCGAGAAGCTTCCGCTGCCGGACATCGACACGGAGGACACCACGATCGTCGCGACGCTTAACAAGTGGATCAAGGACATAGTCGCGGAGTACGGCATCGACGGCGTGCGCATCGACACCGTCAAGTACATCCGCCGCGACTTCTGGGCGGACTTTTCCGCGAGCGCGGGCGTCTTCACGCTTGGCGAGGTGCGTCCTGTGCGGTCCTGCCTTTGAAGCGAATAACGTTTCTTTGCAATAGGTTCTGAGCGACAACGCGACCTACGCAGGGTCCTACATTGGCGCCGCCGTCGACGCTGCTTATCCCCGCCTTCTCGAGCACGTCGGGCAACCTCTCCGCCCTCGAGTCGCTGCCGGCGCTGTCGCCGCTTTCCTCCACGCCCTCCACGCTCACCGCCGCGTGCTCCCCTTCATAGCGGTACTGATGCCGTCCTGAGCGGATACGAGACGAACAAGCCCTTCGTCGCTCACATCAAAGCCCTGAACGGCGTGCGCCGCGAGCTTCCGCACGGGTGCGTCACCTTCGCCTTTCTCTTTGCCCGTCGCTCACGCTCTTCACCAGGCGGACCCGAGCACGATCAAGCACTGTTCCTCACGAATATCGGCGCGAATGCGACCAGGCAGCCGACGTGGAGTATCCCTGTGGGGCTCTACGCGCCGAATACGACGCTCGTGGACGCGCTTGCGTGCGCGGCGCTCGTCGTCGGCGCGGACGGCGCGACGAACGTGTCGGCGAAAGCGGGGCTGCCGCGGGTGCTCATCCCTGCGAACATGCTTAACAGCGCCGGCGGCGCGTGTCCTGCGCTCGCGACGGCCGGGAGCAGCGGCGCGCCGAGCGGGCGCGTAAAGCGGGGTCTTGCGGTGCTTGGGGCCGTGCTGGGGTTGCTGCGCTCATGTAGGAGGTGCGGTCGTGTGGAGGGTTTCCAGGGTGGTGTCCAGGCATAAGCGGACGATTTAATTTTGCTGCATACGTATTAGTGCTCCTGGTGGATAATTTGGAGGTTGTGTGCATTACATACAGACTCGTAGACAGACTAGACAGCATGATTGCTTTATTTTCTTCCCCTGCTCCTTCCCCACGGCTCGTCCGTACTCAAAATCTCGAAGATGGCCGCCATGTCTTGAATAAATTTTAGCCTCAGACGCGAGATGGAGGTGTGCCGGAAATGGAAGAGATGAGGGGCCGGGGATCTCTTCAATTAAATTCTAGAAGCAAGAAGTAGAGTAGACTTTACATGCGTTATGTACAGTGATAGTAGGTAGAATGGTACAATATTTTTGGATGCGGTCCCTCTCGCTTCAATGTTTTTTTTCGAGAACTCGGTGCAAAAGCAAGAAAGCACAGTCAAGAAGTGGCTATGGTCTGACGTCAATGTTGGCCTCACAGTGTTACTGTATACAGGACCTGCGTACCGTTTGTAATTCATTCAGTTAAAATGCCACGAGCATTTGCGAGGGGGATTCGCGCGTATATGTCGTATAAAATACCGCCCCTCAAACCTTCGAAAGAGAACTTTTTCAGGCCGCTCAGCCGTGGATGTGCGAGCGCCTCGTCGATCAACCGGCAGTCTTCCGGGGAAGGGCTCCAGCCCACCAGGTGTATGGTAATGGTCTCCAGGTTGGACGACGGCAGTGTGGCAAGGATCCTCGGCACTTTGAAGGCCTCCTGGAATTGGAGTTGGAGATCCCTGAGCTTGGTCGCGTATTTTAGGATTCCAGAGGGTTCTGTAAGGGAGTGAGATCTCCACCGCGGATTCGATATCAGAGTACACGAACCGTCATCCTCCCAGACAGGCTGAAGGGAAAGAAACACGAAACCGGGTCCCGCGCGCCGAAAATACTCGACCAACGAAGGATCCTGGGTCACGGCGTCGTCGAACTTGTTCAACGTCAGCGACTTCAGGGTCGGGAGTACAGGAAGCGAGAGGAACCAAGCGAACACCAAACCGGCGCCATCCACCACGGATATGTCCAACCTGTGGAGCTGTGCCGGGAACGGAAGCGTCGACGGGAGATCGGCGGGAGTGATAGTCAAAGGGCCAGTGAGCCTGAACGCCTGCAGCGACGGCAGACTTGCAAAAACATCGGCGATCGTGCGTACTGATATCGTGTCCCGGGTGCAGATCACCTCGAAGAGGGATAACGAAGGACAGCGAGCCAGAAACGCAAGTTGCGTCTCGAGCAACGCTTGCAACTGCGAGGCTCCGGGTTTCCCGCGAGCGCTTAGTTGGAGAGTGGTGAGATTGGGGCATCCAGGGAGCTTGGCGAGCTGCTCAAGGTCAAACCCGTCGGATGGAGGTGAGAGAACCAACGCTCGAAGCAAGGAAGGGAGGTCGAGGGACGAGGCCTCAGTGATCTCGAGGAAGGTTTTAAGACGTGATTCACTGTGTATCTTTGCGTATGAGAAGATGTGGAATCTGCTGCGGGGCAGCCAATTCCGACAGATAAGGCCACATTTTGGAGTAACGTCGCTGGGATCTTCGGCGCTCACTGGCACAGTATGATCGATAACGAGGTCAATGAGTTCCTGTGAAAACTTTCGCATGATAATTGTGCTCTCGGGGGGAAAGGGGGGGGGGGGAGCTACTAGAATTGAGTGAGACAATAGAGGTCCTAGTGGCCATTCACCTACATTCGTTCTAGGCCAGATGCAGAGCGGTGGGTCAAATTGAAGTTGAAGGCGATTTTCTTGATGCAAAGGTCAAGCTGGGCCAAACAAGTAGTACGTATACGCCGTCAGAGGCAGAAATGCAAAAGAAAATTACATAGTACCCTGGCAAGTACCGCAGGATAGTTTAGCTACAGAGAAATGCGTGTAGTAGTATAGTACACCGTGGAAGAAGATCAAACTAAAGTTAGGTGCCATCACAACGTCTGCCATCCGCCCGAATTCAATGCCGCCTCAAGCCTACGCGCGATGACGGTCGGGACGCCATGCGCCATCCAGGTCTTCCGCACCTCCTCCCAGCGCGCAAAGTGCAAGTACTGCTAGCGCCCGCGTCTGCGACCATCCGTCAGCGATTACCGTTAAGTCGTTAAGAATAAAGAGAGCAC